CACAGTAGCCGTTCTGGGACCAAGTAATATGGACTACATTGTCTCGATGCTCGCGCTTACCAAACTCGGCCATACGGTACTTTTCCTTTCAACCCGTATATCTCAAGCAGCTATCGATTCTCTCATCACCACCACCGGAGCCACCTATCTGCTGGCAGATTCACGATATGCGCAATCTGCGATCGATGCTCAGAAAGCCATACCAGGGTTGCAGATCGGCGAAATTGCCAGGCCTAACACTTACAACTTTCCTGTTGAAGTCCATGCAGACACCCGCCTTGACTACCAACTCGACCATACAGTCGAAGCCTCGAACAACATCTACATTATACACTCCAGTGGTATGTTCTATATGACAGTCTGTTGGTGTTTGAGCTAATATGAGGACAGGCTCTACCGGACTGCCCAAGCCAATATACCAGCCACAGAGAAGTGCAATCGCCAATTATGCCATCAGTATGGATATGAAAGCATTCATTACCCTTCCGCTGTATCACAATCACGGCATTTGCAACTTCTTCCGCGCGATATACAGCGGCAAATCCATCCATATCTACAACGCCGACCTGCCCTTGACCCAATCTTATTTGGCTACGATATTGAGGCAGCATAGATTTGAGATCTTCTATGGTGTACCTTATGCGCTCAAGCTTCTCTCTGAGACGGATGAAGGGATCGAGCTATTGAAGCAACTCAAGATCGTCATGTACGGAGGGAGTGCCTGCCCAGACGCGCTGGGCGACCTATTGGTGAACAGCGGCGTCAATCTTGTCGGCCACTATGGGGCGTAAGTTTCATGTGATCACTTACAGCAAAGCCAAGCTTACGATGAGCAGCACTGAAGTAGGTCAACTCATGACATCCTTCCGACCTGCCGACGACAAGGTATGGAACTACGTTCGAGAGTCGCCGAAACTATCGCCGTATCTTCGATGGGTATCACGCGGACCCAATCTATACGAATGCACCGTTCTGCCGGGCTGGCCAGCGAAGGTCGCCTCGAACCTACCAGATGGCAGTTACGCCACGAAAGACCTGTTCGAACCGCACCCTACAATCGAGAAGGCGTGGAAATACATTGCGCGTCTCGATGATACAATCGTATTGGTGAATGGCGAAAAATTCAATCCAGTCATGATGGAAGGAACGATCCGGTCCCATCGAGCTGTAACTGAGACGGTTGTCTTTGGTTCAGGTCGACCATACCTTGGCGTTCTTGTGGTCCCAGCAATCGAAGGCATGCCGAAGTCGAAAGTCGTGGATGAGATCTGGCCTGTTATTGAAGCTGCAAATCGGACAGCCGAAGCGTACGCCAGGATATCCAGGGACATGGTTCAGATCCTACCCTACGACTGTCAATTTCCGCGTACCGACAAAGGCAGTGTGATAAGGCAACAGTTTTACAAGCAATATGCCAATGAGATTGACAATGCGTACGATACCGCTGCATCAGCTCAAGGAGATCTCAAAACATTGAATGTTCCGGAACTTGAGGACTTCTTACGTACTGTCCTGGCCAAACAATTGACGCAGGCAGGGGAAATCGGACGTACCACAGATTTCTTCTCGCTAGGCCTGGACTCACTGCAATCGATCCAAATCCGGACGGAGATTCTCAAGAACGTCAATATCGGTGACAAGAAGCTCGGCCAGAATGTGGTGTTTGACCACCCTTCTATTGCATCTCTCGCCGCACATCTCGACAGTCTTCGCACCGGGCAAGAGGAACAAGTTGTGTCGGTCACTGCGCAAATGCAAGACCTTATTGCTCAATACAGCAACTTCGAGCCCATTGCTAGACGTCAAGCTGCGCTTACTGGCGCGACCGGTTCGCTTGGTGCTCATGTGCTTGTACAACTACTCCACCGCTCGGATATCGACACAGTTTACTGTCTTGTACGAGCGAAAGACTACAAGACCGCAGCTCGCCGGGTTCGAGAGTCTCTCATACAGCGAAAGTTATACCACACCCTTTCGCTCTCCGGACGCAGGAAAATACAAGCCATACCTTCTGACTTATCCGAGCCCCATCTCGGCTTAGACAATACGACTTATGCGCGTGTTGCTTCAGGTCTTACCAGTGTTATTCACTGCGCATGGAGCGTCAACTTTAACAAGAACCTGATGTCATTTGAGAAGGACTGCATTGCTGGTGTGCGTCACCTGATTGACCTATGCCTGGCTCCATCATCGATCAAGCCTGCATCCTTCGACTTTTGTTCTTCGGTCAGTACCGTCGCACGATGCCCAGATATGCACACGCCTGAGCGATTAGCCGAGCTTGACTGGGCTCAGGGTATGGGATACGCCCAGAGCAAATGTGTTGCCGAACACTTGTGCTTGGCTGCAGCGAAGGAGACCGGTATCAAAGCGCGAGTCCTGCGCGTCGGTCAGATCGTCGCGGACACTGTCCATGGCGTGTGGAACTCAACTGAAGCAATACCTCTCATGATGCAGTCCGCTCTTACTGTCGGTGCACTACCTCGACTGCAAGAATTCCCAAGCTGGACACCAGTCGACGTTATCGCGAAAGCCGTGACGGAGATCTCGCTCAGCGACGCTGGATCCGTAGTGGCAAATGTCACCAACGCAAAGACCTTCTCTTGGACCGACGATCTACTTCCTGCCCTTCGAGAAGCCGGCCTCCAATTTGATGAAGTTGAGCCCAAGGAGTGGGTGCGCAGGCTTCGCGAGTCCAATCAGGATGCGGTAGCGAACCCACCCATCAAGCTTGCTGACTTCTTCGCATCCAAGTACGACAAGGATACTTTCGGTCCTTCACGTACATACGATACAACAGTCGCCCGATCTTTCTCGCCTTCTCTTGACACAGCGCCTGTACTGGATGCTGCATTTGTGAGGACGTTTGTCAGACAATTCCAGAACGCTGCCTGGCAGATACGTACTACTCCAGTCGCGAAGCCGACGAGACGCGTTGTCATTGTAGTTGCCGGGCCTTGTGGTAGCGGCAAAAGCACTGTCGTACGACGCATCGGCGCTCGCTTCAAAGCACCTTGTATCGAGGGCGACGAACTACACACAGAGGAGGCCATTGTATCGATGGCTGCCGGTACTCCCCTCAATGACGTCGCTCGCGCCCCTTGGCTCGCGCGCGTTAGACAGCGAGCGCTCAATACCGTGACCAAGGAAGGCCACGAGCGCGTATTAGTCTCTTGTTCGGCTTTGAAGAAGTCATACCGGGATGAGTTCCGGGTTTTGGTGGATGAAAAGATACGGGTTGTGTTTGTGGACTTGCAAGTCGAGCCGGAAGAGCTTGTGCGTCGAATGAAGGGAAGAGGTGGTCACTACATGAAAGAGAATATGGTGGAGAGCCAAATGGCCATCTGGGAGACGGCTGATGTATCAGAGACGGATGTGATACCTGTAGATGCTGGACAGTGCGTTGAAGAAGTTGTAGAGGAGATCTCCGGGTTAATGGAGGCGCTCGATGTCATGTAAAGCGCACGCCTCGGGGGCTGTATTATCTTCTAATCCATACGCGCAAATATTAGAAATCGAGTGGTCCAAATCCTCAGTTGTTCGCATATTGTGATGCTGTAGACTTCACACCGCACGCGAGCTAATACAAGCGAGCGAGCAATTTCAACGACGAATACATAGTCATTCAGAAATGGAGGGAGTATAACGTGCCGCCTGTGATAATCTCTTTCGTTTATAGACGCAAGCCAAGGCAATGAAAGCCCTCCAAGAGCAGACCCGTGCGAGCTCTACCACTGCGGCACCCTCTACCCCTGAAAGCGACAGTTCGTAGCGGCTCATCCACAGAACGCGCAACCCCAAGGTGGAAAAGTATAACGAAAATATGACCGGGCGCGGCAAAAGTGAGGGGGAGTCCCTACGAAACAGTCGAGACCGTCCTAACTTTGTCCAAGATCCACGGCGTACGGAACCTCAATGTCCTACGATACCGGATGACCGCCGCTCACATCACCATCCAGATTCATTCTTTGGTAGTCCTCAAATCACATCGGGACCAGCGTATGCGGGGTATGGGCAAGCTCCTCAGCCCGGCGACTACGGTGCAGCGCCTTTCCCTACAACACAGCCATATGGACAAGATTCCAGAGCTTTGTTCCTCCCTCAGCCAAGTTCAGGAGGTCAATTCGAAGACCAAATCAGGTCTCGAAAGCCGAATCGACCGGAGAACATGTCGAAGTCGCCAGGTCTGGTGCCGACTACAGTCGAATTACCTCAAGAGTCAAGTATGCGGTAAGTAACAATTTGAGAGCATTTGCTCGGAAGGCATAATGACGACGCCGTAGTCCAATGTCAGGTATATCGACAGAAGAGACGCGAGAGCCTCGAGGCGAGTTCCCTAGTACACCTGGGTCGAATCAGTTTACCACGTTGGAGGAAGAATACGCGACTCTATATCACCAGCGTCATGAAATTGGTATGAGGATGGAGGAGATAAAGAGAAGCTTTACTGCGGAGGAGTACGCTGCTTTGATGGCAAAGCTGGATCCGCAGAAACTTCCGACGCTCAAGCCGTGGTCTGGTACTACTGACGGTTGAGCGAACGGTGTAGAATTTAGTCTGGAGACGCTACAAGGTCATTCCCACAGTAGCTTTTGATGGACTCGGTCCCTCAAAGAATCCACAGTCTATGTCGTACTCAATCCGTATCGATGTGAACGAATGCTGCTCTCGATTTCCAGGTAGGGAGAGCCTGTCTCTGCGCGCGTGTGTCTGAGATAGGTATTCAACTAGCCGTTGAATATAGATAGAATTGATCGTAACACTTCGGATGAGATTGCTGAAGCTCTATTATCGCTACTTCGATTGATGTACTTGAATGGCGTGCCCTGATTACGGCGAGGACCTCGGGATGCAAGCCGTCCCTGAGACCCCTAATCGCTACAAGCGAGATGGTCCAAGCTCAATCCCGCGGCGGCGTGGTGGGTGGAGCTCCGAGCATCAACACGCCGAAGCCAGCCAATTCCCTGCCGACAACCGCTGTCCCCTTCCACGTCGCTGCCATGCTCTCTGGAATTCTCATCTTCAACCAGAAGGGTGAGAACCTCATCTTTCGCGCCTTCCGCAACGACTGCCGCCCGCGACTTGCCGATGTCTTCCGCATTCAGGTCATCTCCAACGCCCAAGTACGCTCGCCCATCCTCACCCTTGGCTCCACCACCTTTAGCCATGTCAAACACGAGAACATATACCTGGTCGCCGTGACCAAGAGCAATGCCAATGCGGCGCTCGTCTTTGAGTTTCTGTACCGCTTGGTGGGATTGGGGAAGGCTTACTTCGGCAAGTTCGACGAGGAGGCCGTGAAGAACAATTTCGTGCTGGTTTATGAGCTGCTGGACGAGATTCTGGATTTTGGATACCCACAGAATACAGAGACAGACACGTTGAAGATGTACATCACAACTGAAGGTGTCAAGTCGGAAAGGGCAATGGTAAGTCACGTCGAGCGCGACCAGAATAACAACAGCTGACAGCCTTACAGGAGGACTCCTCGAAGATCACAATGCAGGCAACTGGTGCCCTTTCCTGGCGGCGGGCCGATATCAAGTACCGCAAGAACGAAGCCTTCGTCGATGTCATCGAGGACGTCAACCTGCTCATGTCCGCGACGGGAACAGTACTGCGAGCCGACGTGAACGGACAGATCATAATGCGCGCATATCTCTCGGGCACACCCGAGTGCAAGTTCGGTCTCAACGACCGACTAACGTTGGGCGAAGATCATCTACAACAACCGTCTGGAAACAAGGCAGGCGCGAAGGCTACAAGGGCAGCAGCGGGAAGTGTGACATTGGAGGACTGTCAATTCCACCAATGCGTAAAGTTGGGCAAGTTCGATGCGGACAGGATAATATCCTTTGTTCCGCCCGACGGCGAGTTCGAGCTGATGCGCTACCGAGCGACCGAGAACGTAAACCTGCCTTTCAAGGTGCACGCCATTGTCAACGAGGTTGGCAAGACCAAGGTCGAATACAGCATCGCTATTCGCGCCAACTATGGCTCCAAGCTTTTTGCGACAAATGTTGTCGTGCGGATACCAACACCACTCAACACGGCGCGCATTACCGAGCGGACATCACAAGGCAAAGCCAAGTACGAGCCGGAGCACAACAACATCGTCTGGAAGATACCGAGGTTTACGGGGCAAAGTGAGTTTGTGCTGAGTGCTGAGGCCAGCCTGACCAGCATGACCAACCAGAAGGCGTGGTCCCGACCACCGCTCAATCTGAGCTTCTCATTGTTGATGTTCACCAGTTCGGGGCTACTTGTACGATACTTGAAGGTGTTCGAGAAGAGCAACTACAGCAGTGTAAAGTGGGTGCGTTACATGACGAGAGCGGGTAATTATGAGATAAGGTATGTTTCTCCTGCTCCACCACTCGATCACATCCATCTCACGTATATTTACCAGGTTTTGAGCATTATTATTCTGTACATTAGCCTGGATTCACACAGGTATTATTGCATTGCAGGCGTCATTGAGCCACTAAAGATATCCTTGAGCACAATGAAAGTACAACATCAGCTTTTTGAGTATTGTTCCATCCGTGACCAGAAGCTCAGGCTGGCCGTTCGGATTCTGTTCTTCTTTCTGTCTTCTAGTATAGTTAAACGGATCAGCCACAGTTTTCTGGGCTCATACGATCTATCTCTGTCGTCCCGGTTGCTGGGAAATGGTGTCAAGCCCGTTATGGTGGTATCCACCCCTCGAAACCCCAACGGCACACGCGTGAACAGCGATCAGCAGCCTGCACGTCGAATATTGCCCTCGAAATGGCGTAGCTTTTGACTGTATCTTCACCTTGATTTGCGAGAAGTGGATATGCGCGATAAATATGAGTTGGTATTGATTGATTTCCTTTGCACCAGGCTCAAGAGGAGGACGTGGTCATGCAGCTTACAAGGGTGGTTGTTGTATCACCACACTAGTTAGCTCAACCCCTCATGCTGTGCCGCAGCCACAATCTGGACAGCGACTGGTTAACAGCCAGCAAATAGGAAGCGTTGTTGTTGCAGAATCAATTACGGGACGTCACTGCTTCTGCTACAGATCTCTCTTACTTCTCTTATCGTCCCTGACTTGCGAACAACAGCTGCTCCATCATGGAGGGCGTTGCTGCGTTCTCTCTGATATGCAACGTTATACAGATTGTCGAGCTTTCTCGAAAAATCATCACGACAGCAAAAGAGATCCAGTCTTCTCGCAGCGGTGCGATAGATGATCACGAAGAGTTGCAAGTCGCGGCTACATACCTACAGCGTACTGTTGATGATCTGCGGCACAAATCGACAGACGACGTTCTGCAACAGCTGGCAAGTCGCAGCCAGGCAGCCATCAGCAGACACATGGCTCTTTTAGAGTCGCTCCGTGGAAAAGGGCAGATTGGCTCATTGCAAGCCACGTTCATGGCTATGAAAGCACGATGGAAACAGCGCCAACTAGAGGAGTCGCAAGCACATGTTGATCGCCTTTCCAAGCACCTCACGACTCACATTATCTTGACTTGCATTCCAAGTTTGAAACGAGACATGGGTCATCTCGGTGCAGACATTGCGAATCATCATCAGAGGATGGACGAAGATATCGGAGTATTGAAGAGGCAACTAGCAAGAGTAGGCACGACGTTGGGTGAGACATCAAGGACTGGAGATACGACACAAGATTTAGTGCGCCAATTGCATCAATGGATCACCGAGAAAGAAGAGATACAAATCCAGAGACAGTGTCTGCATGCGCTTTACTTTCCACAGCTGCGTAGCCGGGAGGAAGAAGTCAAACCCGCGCACAAAAAGACTTTTGGGTGGATCTTTGATGATCCTAGCGATGACGCGGAAGCGATTCAGAAGTCGAAATTCAGGCGATGGCTCCATTCGGATGATTCTACCGAGAACCTGTTTTGGATCTCAGGTAAACCAGGAGCCGGCAAAAGCACGCTGATGAAGTTCATTGCTCATCACCCATCCTTGAAAGCAGAATGTCGGCGCTGGGCAGGTTCCAAGTCCCTCATCATCGTCGACTATTACTTCTGGAGACATGGGTCTCCTATGCAAAGATCTCTTAGAGGCCTCTTGCAGTCGCTGCTTTATCAGGTCTTGAGACAACAGCCACAACTCGTTACTGAAGTCTTTCCGGACACAGAATGGATAACCGGCGGCCCTCAATTCCAGTTCCCATACGATAGCCTCCTCAGTGCTCTCAACCGCCTCGTTACCATCGCACCTAGACACGATCTCCGATTTCTCTTCCTGGTCGACGGTCTTGACGAGTTCGACGATAGGCCAAGTATAGATAGTGCTGGTTTACCTGATGTGAGAAGCCTGATAAGTCTTCTTCGTATCATCAACTCCAGCGCATCTGCAAAGATGTGCGTGGCCAGCCGTCCGCTTAATGAATTCGATTCTGCGTTTGGACGACAACAAGATCAGTGCTTTCAGATCCATGATTTGACCAGGCAAGATATTGCAAATTTTGTGGACAGCACTCTGAAGAAAGACGTAAGCTTCTTAGTACTAGCGGAAAAGGATACTGCTTATGAAACTCTGGTTGCCGAGATAATTCGCGCGGCTGAAGGAGTCTTTCTATGGGTCTTCTTGGCATGCAACTCGCTACTAGATGGGCTCACGAACGAAGATCGGATACTGGATTTACGCCGGAGGCTTCAGCGTCTTCCACGTGAACTTGGTGATATGTATACGTACATATTATCCACCATCGAGCCGGAGTATCGCAGAAATAGCGCTCGATCGTTGATAAGCAGCAGTTTCGACTCGGTCTTTCTATGGCATGTTTATCTCGACGATGAAGAGCGTACAAACGCCCAAAATCCCCCGGATATGAAGACCGAAGCTGGTATTCAAGAGCTCTTTTCCATTTCCAAAAGACTGCGTAAGAGATTCGCAGCCAGGACTAGGTGCTTATTGGAAGTTCGTGAATACTGTCAAGAGACGGCACTTCCAAAATATGCTCCTTTCGAGAAAGAACTGGTGTCGCTATGCGATTGTACAGTGGTACCTACCCACCGAACAGTCGCAGAGTTCATTCGCGAACCGAGGGTGCTGGAGCGTTTGACTAAGGAGGCTGCCCCGTTCGATTCTGAGATCTACCTTTCCGCAGTATTTTCCGAACTTACCTTCACTATGCCATTGTTATCGACACTTCGTGAGCTTCATGCTCATAGTGAAGATCAGTCACGGGTAAATAGCCAATCATATGAACGTGAAAAGATGCGGTGGCTAAGTGTTTGGAATTACGTGGAAATGCTTCCGGAAGCAAAATTAGGCCCGTTTTTGGAGAAGATGGACAAGCTCTTGCGAGGAGGCTCTCCGCATCATGTCTCAAGGCTACACGAGATAATTAAGCTTGCACCTAGTCACCCTTGTCAAGACGATTTTCCGCCTACTTCCTGGAACTGCACAATCTTCGAGGTGGCTGTTGCGAATCGGGCGCCACGAGCTATTAGTCACTTACTCAGCCAGGATCCAACTCTGGCCTTTGGTCTAGCGCCACAGCTGCCGCCCCTCTTGATAGTCCTCCATGGCCCTTGCGACAACCCTGATGCCCAAGCTGTCGCCAGAGTTCTATTAGAACGCGGTGCGAACCCGAACTTACGTTACGGCGGAACGACGCCGTGGAAGTCGTATTTGAGTCATTTCATTGCCGAATTGACTCTTGAAAAAGATGTTGGACTAGGGAAGTTAACGATGACTCTAATCAAGCACGGTGCCGACATTGAGGGGACGTGTGAATGGAACGGTTTCTCGTACATCTCTTTTGGCAAGTTCTACACCTCTCGAGAGAGGCTGAAATCTATGTGTGTGCGGGAGGTCACACCCATATCGTTTATACTGTCCGTGGGCTCGATAATTCGTTACATAATGGACGAGTACGGCAGTCCCGAAGATAGAGAAGCGTGGTTGTCATCATATCAGCCTTCTGCCCTCTCTACAGACGAGGAAGCTCTGAATATCATAAGACTCCGCGGGCAGGAAGTCGGAGTCGAACTGGCGAAGGAAGGCTGACACGGCTCGATAACAATAAAGACAGTGCGTTCAGACGCTCGTATGGAGCTCAGTTCATTTTCACGTCTGTGACTTGGGGCTGAACAGGACTGCTGTTAGTCATCGCTATGAGCATCCAAGCTCAGATCGTAGCATATCCCATCGTGCCAACTCTCCTTCACTTCCTCCCGCCCCCGATTGCTGTCACTTTGCAGTCAATACATCATGAATCATATGTATGGTATGTGTTGCTCATCGAAGCAGTCAGCCGGCGCGATGCTGAAGACTGTGGTGACTCTTCCCGTTCTATAAAACGTTCGCAGTCAGCTGTACGATTGACTTACTTCACCAAACCTACCGCATTCTTCATCGCCAACGAGCTACTCACGACTTCCGAAATCCATACCGCACCCAAGAAATCAGGTGTACTCAACTGAGAAGCATCGTGAATTCAGCATTTACGGTATCTTCCAATTCAATTATCACGTACAAACGTTCCAGTAAATTTGTCCATATCCGATTCCTTCGACAGGTGAGTAGCGAAATGAACAACTGCACTAAACAAGACTAAATGACATGCAAGCTCAACTCGAACACTTCATCTACAGTATGGCGCCGAATAATGAAGTACTGAATCACCTGAAAACACTTATTCAGGGCATCTGTAACGATAAGAGTGGCATGGATAGAGACATAGCAGGCTACCAGGCTGCGAAGCATGCTATGGAATCCCTAGGAGATGTCAGCGATGAGGTTAAAGAAGGGCTCAAAGGGGCCAAAATCAATGCCGGATCTGGAAAGCCGACGCCACATAATATGCTCATTGTCGACAGGGATGGCGAGAAGTGGATGGTTCATCTTATGCACCTGATGTGGATGCTTAGGTACACAGCACTTGGGGAAGAAATGAAGACTACAGACGACGCGGAATCTAAAGTCAAAGAAATGATAAAGAAGTGGGTTGAGGAAAAGCGTACCTGGCTTGATGAGCATGAGAAATGCTGGGAGGCGGCTGGCAAGTGGATCGCGGAGGAGAAACGAGGCGGGAAAGCATTGATGATGTTGCCACGACCCGACTCAAGCAGTGCCTAGTCATCGCAGAGGCCTTGCAGGGCTTTCATGACAGAGGGTACCTCAGAGTGCGATGGTGCTACACAATCCTTAGCAAGTGTACGATAAGACCTTTTGTATCTACTACCACAATCCTTATGAACACTCCTTGAATGATACCGTTATCAAGCTATCTCGCAATGTGTATGGTAATTGACTTACTTTGCACGCAAGGCAGCCAGCTGAGTGTAATACGCGAGCCGACGAGTCTATAGGAATACCAAAATGAGCAATGAGGCACTTCGACACCTTGAACGGTCAGTGACTGGTCCGTGGTCTTGTACGTGTCCACCCTTAACGGCGTTCCTTTGAGTCCTACAATGAGACTTGTTCTCATTCGCCCTCTGTAAATTGACTCACCCGCCAACAACTGTTATTGCGAGACATTGTTGGATGGTCTGTGGTCTGTGGTCCGTGGCACTGAATGCTCAGTGTTCTTGACAGCTCTCGCGGTATGCCAGGATAACTTGAAGCCGCGTCGATCTGTCAATACGAACGCGGCCAACAAGCGTCCGAGTGTTGGTGTAGCATCACCAACAGGTTCGTTTGAATGACCCACACGCCGGGGGCAAGTCGATATTCGCTCTGCGTAGAAAGTAAAAGTCATTGAACATGCACCTCCCAAGGCGTGGTAATTCAATTTAACGTTTCATTTGCATGTCTTTATCGAACTTTGGACTAGTATAGGACGCCCTTCGTACTCCTAACCTCACCCTCCCACTGCTTCACTACGGTTGTCGCATGCCTGATAGCGACCGCAAGCGCCTTAAAGGCACTCTCTGCCCTGTGATGATCGTTGTCACCGCGTATGCAGTCAACGTGAAGGGTGGTGCCCGACGCCTGCGCAAAGCTTTGGAGGCAGTGCGGGATCATCTCGCAGCTCAGATCGCCAATCTTCTCCCGCTTAAGACCCAGCTCGATGATGCTGTATGGCCTGTTCGATAGGTCGATGACAGCGCGTGACAGTGCCTCGTCGAGCGGTGCGTATGCGTGTCCGAAGCGTGCCAGACCCGTGCTTCCCTGCAGCGCATTCTTAAAGGCGGTGCCTAGCGCCAAGAATGTGTCTTCGCTCGTGTGGTGGTCGTCAATGTGCAGGTCGCCCTTGCACCGTATGCGCAGACTCCAGCCGGCGTGCTTGGCCATAGCGTGGATCATGTGGTCGAGGAAGCCGATGCCGGTGTCGACAGATATCTCCTGGGACGTCGACTTCTGGGTAGCGTGGTCCTTGTCTACTTTCTCGCCATCGCCATTGAGACTCTTCTTGTCGTAGGCCGCCCAGAAGTCGCTGTGCTCGTAGGGTGAGAGGTCGCCGCCATCGATGTTTATCGAGACCTGAATCTTCGTCTCGTTCGTATCGCGGTTGAGGCAGCAGGCGCGCGGCATGGTGGCGGTCGTGTGCGTGATATTGATATCGGCTGGCTTCGGGGGTGTTGGGAGCTTGTAGAGCGGTCAATGATGGATGGCAAAGTCGAGGGACAAAAAGTTGAAGCGGATGCAGAGGGGCTTCCCCACGCCCCACGTCATGGCGCCAAGCAATATAGGGCTGGAAAAGTCTGGCCAACCAACGAATCGCCGAACCAAAGTCCGCCCCAAAATTTTGATATCGCAAAGTCACGTCTCGAACACAGGATCGTCTTTCAGACGCAGCCATATAAACGCGTTATCTCTCAACCGACACCGGCTAGTCATTAAGAGCAAGGAATAAGATCAAAATGCCAGGCGCAACAGAAGAACCCACGCAGGTCCCAATCTTGGATCCTACCTCCGAGAACAACGAGGAGATTGATCCGGCGATCGATCGCGACAGGATCAGGGTCGTACGTACGATCTGAACGATATAGAAAAACGCGTATCTAATTTATCCTAGCTGTCCGGTGCGACGGAGACGGCAGCATCTTTCCAGTTTGATGGCGAGGACCACACGCTAGGCAACGCGCTGAGATACATCATCCACAAGAAGTAAGCCAACCCTCTCAGCGCATATATGAATAAGCAGCTAATGGCTCCATAGCCCCGATGTCGAATTCTGTGGTTACTCCATTCCGCATCCTTCAGAAGCCAAGATGAACTTGCGCATCCAGACATACGGTAGGTCATACATGCGAAGCTACATTGATCTTGCAACTAACACTTCCCTAGATGGTGTCAGCGTATACACCGTGCTGGAGAAGGGCCTCGAAGATCTCATGGCCATGTGCGATGTCGTCGAGCAGAAGTTCACAATTGCACGAGATGACTTTGTAAACAAGATGGAAGAGTAGGGCTGCAACGCGCCTATAGTTACGAAAGTATTGCATTGCTGGCGTTTAAGGATAGCATGGTCAACTGGCGAAAGGAAAGGAAAATGGTATTGTCTTCAGCTATATACACCGAATTTTGTTCTTGGTTGTCCCCGGACTTTGGTAGTAATGGACAAATCAGTTGCGACCCTATACACGCGTGTTAGCATATGATTTCGCGAGAGTATTGACGCAAAGAGTAAGCGTACCTCCAAGAAGCCGTTGATGAAGTTGCTTGGTAGCCGGGCCTTGGGATCCTCTTCCGCGCGGAAGTATTTGAGAACGTGTGACAATTGTTTCCAGAAGTTGAGTGTTTCCTGTACGATTATCAGTACCTTCCCTACTATCAAATTGTGTTGGTCCGTGGTGTACCTGGAACTCCTGATGACTGTTGAACAGCAGCACATCTACTGTTTTGAGTTGATTCACGTATCGATGCCGCTCGAATTCCTGCCGCATTTTCGTCCGAAGCGTGGATACGGGCATGTTCAACGAGTACATAGTCTGGATTTCGGGAGCCTGTAAGGTCATTGTCAGTCCAGGTTCCATGTCCTGCTGCCCGCTTCTCCGCATCCCACGCTTTCCCTCCCTCGTTCCAGCTCTTTCCGTACACAACCTGTATCCAATCTCCAAATTCCCCCCAAAGGACTTGTAGATTCCGGGAGTCAACGTACCGACCGGAGCCAGTCCCGGTAGCTGTGAATGACCCTCTTCTTCGCATCAGTCCAGTTGACCGCTGTGCCCGCATTAGCCTTTCCATTCCTCCAATGTTCCGTGAGCGTGTTCGACTAACAGGAGCGCGTGCGCTGAGCGAGGTAGGTGGGGTTGATGACCATGTTGGCGGTGTTGGGGAGCTTCCAGTCGTCTCGAAGCCGGAGCTGGAGTGACGATGCGGCTCGCGGGAGTGGAATGCCAAGACCTGACGTTAGCGCGGATTTTACTCCCGGCGCAGTCGCGAAGTTATCGATGGCTTCTCTCTCGAAACCACGAATAACCTCAACGTCTTTACAGCATACTCCAAGCTCGAACGCATCTGTCGTCATAATTGACATTCTACCTCGCGCCAAATTCGCAGATTTCAGCCTGCCACAACCAGCCCAGCCATGCCTCCAGTCCGCACCGCACGCGCTTCGCGCAAGGCCCCGCCGGAGGGCTTCGATGACATCGAGGACACCCTCCTGGAATTCCAGAACAAGATGAAGGACGCCGAGAACGCATCGCACGAGGGCAAGAAGAAGTACGAAATGACGTGGCCCATCTTCCAGATCACCCACCAACGCTCGCGCTACATCTACGACCTATACTACGAGAAGGAGGCCATCAGCAAGCAGCTCTACGACTATTTGCTTAAGAACGGCTATGCAGATGCCATGTTGATCGCCAAGTGGAAGAAGCAAGGCTACGAGAAGGCAAGTCCATTCTACACAGGCACCTCTTAGCTCGAATCAAACTAACTTGCAGTAGCTATGCTGCACGCGCTGCATCCAGACCAAGGAGACAAACTTCCGCTCGACCTGCATTTGCCGTGTCCCCAGGGATCAGCTCAAGGAGAACCAGGAGATTCAATGCGTGAACTGCGGCTGCAGAGGGTGCGCCTCCAGCGACTGAGCAGTATAACGAGGAGAAACTGCGAGGACAGACCCATACCCTGATTAATAGCGATAGACGCTGTCTACACTCTACAAATACTGCCAGGGAGGATACAAAGAAGCGCAATCAAGCGCGCACGACAGAACCAGGCGCAGTCAGCAGGTAGACTGCTGCAAGATACTGAAGTTGGCTGCTCATACCGAATGGGCCGCCAAGATGAGTTTGAGAACACGGTCACAACAAAAGCATAGGGTGTGTCTATTGACCAGAACATAATAATTCAAATGTTAACTTGTATACAGAGAAAAGTGAGTGAATGATGGTGTCCCCAACCTGGACGCCTGCAACCTGTGGGTATACTTGAACCATTACGCAAGTCGTCCAGTCGTAAGGGAAGACCCAGTCTATGTTTGATATCCGCCTGCCCGCAACCCATTAACCAAAACGCCTCTCCAGCAACTCAGAAGGCCGAGCTTGCGTCGCTCATCCGCTTGTAATTGGAATTGGTACTACGTTGTGACGATCTCCGGCTCATATCCCGACCAAATCGCGATTCCGGTAGGGAATCCAGAATGCCTTGCCGCCGAACCCAAGCTGTGGGTGGTGGAGAGGGCCATAGTTCTGATATCTCGGATCCCAAACTCCTCCTGGCCAATTCGCTGTGTGTTAGTCGGAATGGGCTAGCCCCATCAATGGGCGAGTCTCGACCGGAGCGACCCTTCTCCGATATGCTGCGCGCGGGTGTCTTTGGTGTCGCGCCATCATCCTCTTGGTCTTGATTCACCATTCGAATGTACTCTCTGCTTTGACCGAGAACCTGGGCTTCTCTGTGCCGGCCGTCAGAGACATGAGTGCTGAATGCGGACATGTTGAAGATCTTGCTTCCTCTTCGGGTGCTGTCTAATGACGGCAAACGTATCATGTAGTCTTTCTCTGGGGCCGGAGGAGGTGTTTGCAGAGTTTGCCTCGCTTTCCGCGCTTTTCGTCTGCGCCACCAGAATGCGGTGTAGATACATATCGCACAAAAGGCGATCATGACGGGTATCATTCCAAGGCCAATCTTTGTCCCGAGAGTCATTCCTGGTCCCCCTCGTGCTATGGAGTGTGCAGATG